TTTTGAACCCAAAAAACTTGAACCTCTTGCGATTCTATATTTTTAATGCTGAATCCTAGAAGAAAGCAGTATATTAATAGGGCAATAGTATGATTGCTAACTCCACTACTGGTATTGCTTGGCGGAAGCTGATAATGATTAGATGCTGGCGCTTGGCACGCACTATGAGTAGGCCAAATCCGGAATAGATTATCTTCCTGGCCGTCCAAATTTTCTGCTTTTTGTATCAACCAAGTTCTTCCTATGATTTAATTTCTTTTAGGAAATCGAATCATTGGAAGACAAAATTATATGAATTTTGATTGGCTGGACTCTGTAAATCCTTGGCGCGCCAATAGGCATTCAAATGTCACAACCATTCTGAATCGAAGTCGAATGCGTGGCGTATTCCAGTTAACTATTGATTAACACCAAGCAGTTTACTGGGCTATTTTTCCTCAGAATTACTGCACATCTTTCAGAGAGTCCCGAGTATTCATCCAGTTCACGAGGAGTTGAGATCAGGTTGTGCCATCGACGTGCATGGAACGAAAAATCATGGAAAAGTGAGGTTTGCTGAGCAGGAGTTTTGGGTTATAGTCGCAGGTTGCTATAGACTCTTTGAAGCTTCACCAATTCGATAGAACTGGGAGCTCGAACGATCCAATCAAGCTGCAGCATGTCTGCATCGGGTTTTAAGACTGCCACTTTTCACTGCACTTCGAGATTCGCCAGTTCCTGTTTCGTACTTTTACAATAGGATTGCTAGGGCCCATCCAGAACCCACAATAGGATTGCTCAGCGGTCATTTAGAGTATTTTTTGATCAACAGTACTTTATTTCATAGGGAGACTGTTGAATGCCTTCTGGTTGTGCACTCTCAGTCCACATCTCTGTAATGGGTGGGCGTGGCTGCGTATTCGATTTGGACATGGTCACGATTGTGCCTTTGATAAGATTCTGTCGTTCTAGGAGTGGAAACTTTGCGTTTGTCCGGCACCAGTTAGAGCGGAACATGTCTTCCATTGTGAAGATTTCACACCAATTTCGTGAGGGGTACGCAGCCACGCCCTCCCCATTTCAGAGATACGAGAGATACGGACATTTATGTGAAAAAACGTAGAATTTAGGGTGTATGAATTTATGGTATATGAGAACGTATTCTAGATTCTTTTGTTGAGTTCTACTTGCAGAATTGTTTTCTTCTTCAGAACTCTGGAAAGTTCACAGTTGAATTGCTCGGCCGGTCATCCACAATTATGTCGTTGGAATTTGATCAGAAAAGCAACGAAATAGTAGCAATATCGCGTACTGGTAAAGAAATAGAAAAAGTGGTATGATTTTCCTCTTAGATCATATGTTACCAAAATAGCGGAAGAAATTTAAAAGGGACATTCAGAATGCTGTTTTATTCAGAGTTCGTATGAATGCTATCGTCTGGATGTTCGTCGATTTCACTTACACCTTTCTGTCAGTGATTGTTACTTTGATGTAAGTACATTTTCATCAGTATTAATTGAACTGCAGGCAGATGTTTCACATTGGTTTGGCGAAGGTTGTTTCAGCAAGTGACCTCACATTTCACGTTGCCCAGCTCAGAGGTCAAAGGTCGGATCGTTTCCTGCCCCGGCCATCGAAGCCTTTTTTTCCTGCGGGGGAGTTTGTCGGTAGTAGGCTAGTTTGTCGGTAGTAGGCTTGTCCAGGAGGTTGAGTACACTACCGGGCTTCCTGGTAGGCTAAGAACACAAAACACTATTAGGTCCCCTGTAACTCTAATGGACGAATAATAAATTTCGATCCACAAAATAGGTCGGTCAACGCCGCAAGTTTCATCATTTTCTGACGAATATTGGAGTACATGTAATAGCCGTACAACTGAATATAACTTTTTAAGATAGAGTTGAATGGGAGTTACGTTGGCTGTTTTGTTCCAACGGGAGATGTTCGAAAAGTTGAAGCTATTGGAATTAAAGGAGATCTCATAGTGAACATAATGACAATAGAAGGATTTCCATATCTGAAAAGTGAGCTTAACCTTTGGAATGGTCAGTAGTCGCTCTCCTATTTCTTACGGTCACATATTTGGTATGACATTCAGGCTGGAATACTGTGTGCTTCGAATGGACCGAAGACACGTTCAAACATTTTGGATACCCCACCGAAGCAGAATCACAGGTAGTTTTTGCTATACCGAGTTTTGTTGGCTAACTTCAAGTATAACTTCCTAGCTTGCTGAGGTTATTCTCAAAAGATAGGAAGTTATACTTGAAGTTAGATAATGATTATTTTATTCAGAGTTCGAGTCACATATTTGGTATGACATTCAGGCTGGAATACTGTGTGCCAAAAAGTCGTTTTCGTTTACATTGTAAAACATTTTACTCTTCATCAAAAGTCCCAAGTCTATTGACTTTGGATGAAGAGTAAAATGTTTTACAATAAAATCTTTCATTACTTGGGACGAAAATTTCACTATGGTTTGTATTCGTTGCTAAATGTCCGCATCAGTTCGACATTTTCGGTGATAAGTTTGATATACCGTTTTCCTGCGCTTGCTTTCTGCAGCATAGTTATCGTGAACGTAAGCGGGCGCTGTTCGGCTCGGGAGGGAGATGCATTTCCATTGTCTCCCTCGACATAAGGCTACGTTCATACTTCGCGGTAACGTCGTCAGCGACCATCAGCGTCTCAAGGGACTAGGAAAGTATGGATATCGATCTAGCGTCTACCAGCGTCCACCAGCGACCAGGAGTAGAGAGTATGGGGAAGTAGGAGGGTAGCAGACTGCTGGTAGAGTATGGGGAAGTAGGAGGGAGCAGACAGCTGGATTAGGCGTCGTGAAATTGTGGCGTGTGCAACCGCACCGTACACTACACAATACCGTACTCCTGTCCGCTGGTGATCGCTGGTGGACGCTGGTAGACGCTGGTAGGCGCTAGATCGGAAACCATACTTTCCTTGTCCCTCAAGGCGGTGGTGGACGGTGGTAGACGTGCTGGCAGTTGGCAGTGTCGTTCTCTAGATCAACATCTATACTTTCCTGATCCCTGACGGACGCTCGAAACGCTGATGGTCGCTGATGGACGCTGTCGCAAAGTATGAGCGCAGCCTGAGAACTTATCTAAACCCCACCCGAAAATAGTGCAGGGAGGCTGCGCTTGTAGTTGGATATATTTTTGGTACAGTTGTAATCATTTTCATGTCCAGCGCAAGACTTGATCCATTGGTTCCAAATGGGAATATCCAACGATTTCATTCAAGGCCAAATCCTAACGTAATACGAAGCCACGCTTACCGCATCTCAGGGATTTGAAGTGCAAATTCATGCACCCTCAGAGAAGCGTCAGTGAACACCCACGTCGATTAATCACTGAAAAGTTGGCTCGTAAACATTGCTTTACGACAACTTGGATGACTTGGTGGGCGCCATGAGAGCGGACCACCTCTAAGAACAGCAACTTCTCCAGCTGTAATCGACTGAGTGCCGAGGAATGAGAAGGAGCTGAGGGAGTAGAAGGAGACCTTGCCCCCTAATAAACACTTAATAACGTTTCTGCTGAATTCTATGTTTTTTTTGTATCACTGGGATTCGAATAAATGATAATCAACCCATTAGTCTTTTGTTTCCACAAAACAATCAGAATTCCAAGGAGCGTGCTATTCTAACTGGATACATTTCAGACGAGTATAAATGGAGACTCATCCTCTTCACTTTCACGGAGCGAAAGCCAAAGTGTGTCAACCGATGAATGCACCATTACTCGGATCCATTGGAAACCATGAACTTCCTGTATATTAATAGAACAAAGATAACGTACTGAGTCTGTACCAAGAAAATGCGTTCAATAGTCCACTTGATGTCCTGAGAGAAACCTTTTTACACAGCAAACTCCTGACATTCCAACAATATTGCGTCATTTGTCAGTTGAGTTTACGACTGATCTAAATCATTGAGCAGAAGCCACGCTTTCGAAGAAAAGGTCCTCAGTTGAAGCTCAGCCAGAAATTTCTAGGAAAATCGAAATGTGTAATTAACTAGAGGTCGATTTGCCGTTGTAATTTGATGTAATTCGATAGTTCGACCAAGTGAACGCCTCCATCAATCATCCTTTCATTTTGTCTTTGAGTCTGGGTAGTATTCTTCATGCCCGTTCCTTTCTGCCGTGGTGAAGGTGGTGTAGCGGCAAGTGCAAGCTTAGCTTACCACGGGTGTGCTCTGAGGTGAACTCGACGATCAATTTCTGCCTAGGCCAGCCTATCCTTCTACTTTCGGGGACAGTGTGCGGCTATTTCAAGTGATAGGATAAGAACATAGACTATCACATTGGCTCACCCTTGAAAGCCGCTGTGTGGGCAGGGCACGCCATCTTTGTGATCATCACAACGGGGGGGTCGTATTTGCCCGCGATGGAGGGGGGGGGTCGTAAACGCATGGCCCATGTTGAAGTGGAGAGAGCGGTGATACACGGTACAAGTGAAAAGAAGCTCAAAAGGGACGATGTAGATGACAATAAATAGAACTAGGCACTATCGAACTATTCCTAGGCCAAGAACTAAAAAAAATATTGCTGAAACTTTTTCCTCCTTCCTCAAAAAACTTCAAGACACTTCGCCCACCAACCCTCCTCATCTGGTCTAGATAAATCCCAATCCACTAATCCGCAAAATCTAGAAAAGAATCCATTGCAAAAGCTACCTATGAAACCGTAGAAATTGAATCCTGAGCAATTTCCTCACAACAAAATCAAACTCAACAAAACAAAATCAAACTCAACAAAAACAAACAATCAAAATAATTCACAATCAAATGGATAAGAAAAAAACTCACCAGGCCAGCTGGGAACCGGAACTATGGATTACTTTTGAATTTTGGCTGTTCGCGGTCAGCGCGCTCATACAAGCTCATTGGTGCGCGCTATTTTACGGCCTGGAGCCAATTTCAAGCCAAACACGTGAAAAGTACCCCTCATTTGAACACCCATAACTTGAAAGCATATGAATTGAGCGATTTCAAAAACGTTCCGATTCCAGAGATTTTCCCCGTTGTGATCATCGTTGTGATCCGTCTGTGATCATTTTTGCGAACCGCGAGTCGCTACGCTTTGGACGTCCATGGCAAGCTTCATACACGGCCTTTCGTAAAAAAAGAATTGTGCCGGAAGCTTGAAGATTTCTACTTTCCAGCAAGGCTTTAATTTTCTTCCTAGGCTTCGAAAAAATTCCCCGTTGTGATCATTTCGTGACCACCCCCCCCCACGACACGAAAAATCAGCCCCTCCGAGGCCATGAAACCTCCAGTTGGCTTGAAGACTTTGGTATGCTTCTAAAACACATGTTTTCGCAAAGGGTATCAGGAAATAGGCCATTGGGCGCCAATTGGCATCACCTCTGCAATGCGCCATGCATGGGGCTTTCCTTCTAGATAGGGCTTCCCAAGTTGCAAGCACAATGTGCTCCTACGATCAGAAAAGTCCGGGAATGTACTTTCATCTGTTTATTAATCGTCACGTCGTGAGTCCTCTTGTTTGTTTATAAATTCATGGTGCCCTTGTGGGCGGTGATCGTAGCTCCTATCATCGCCCCTTCCTCGTACGTATTGTCAGTATGCTACACCAGCGCCAGAGTGCTGGACGTGCTTGGGACGTACGTAGGTACTGCGACCTTTCCCCCCCCCCCCCCCGCTCGACAGCAAAATTTTGTAAAAAACCAGAAATTTTTGGGAAAAAATAGACAAAGTGGTAGGAGGTTGGAAAAATCTAGGGAAGAGGTAACATGGGGAGGGGGGTCGTACTTGAAGATGGAATTAGGGGGGGGTCGTATTTTTCAGGGAATGATCACAACGCAATGGCGTGCCCTGTGTTTAGGCCACATCCCATTCAATAAGGCACCACAATTCTGAATGGAGGTAGGATGCGTGCCTCATCCAAAAAACGATCGATCAAAGACTTTATCATTCTTTCATTCTTTATGCATCTCATAGTCGAAGCGCTTCTATTAAGGTGTCCTGAAAGTTCGGGACCTTTCCAAACTTCTTTTGAGGCAAATTTATTTCAGTAACAAGCAGTATCGATTAGTAGCATATGCACATCTTCATCATTGACCTATTGCCCAAGAACAGGCGAATGATGATGACGGTGATCGCCTTCCTCTCAAAACCCATCCCGTTTGGTGTCATACAAAGCTAGTTCATTTTAAGGTGCTTCATGAAATCGTGTTCTGTACATGGATGGTGGCCGCTGTGGCGTTACAATAGATAAGATCACAATCAGTTGGGGAGGTATCGGGAGGGGCGGAGTGAACTGACCTCCGGCTGCCTTGCTCCACCAATAGTGGTGTTTAGTGATCAATTCAGGAAGAAAACTACCACTTGTAAAAGGCAGCGGGTTGTCTGATGCCATCTCTCTTGAAACCGACACGACCGATTAAGAGTGCGACGATATCTGTGAGATGGCTGTGAGAGGAGCCTGAGATGGCTGTGAGAGGAGCTATGTCAGGACTGCACCCTTGGGAGCGGTGGAATGTCCCTGCCAAGATTCGCGGATGTTTCGCATCTCGTGTCATTTCTTGAATGGGTGGACACTGATGTTGTCGTGGAGCATGTGAAACTTTGTTTATTAAGGGGGCAAATAGAGGATTTTCACATCTTACTTTGTAATTCTCAGTAGGGCTCATTGGTGACTATAGCGTTAGGGTATACTCGCTAACGCCTCACCATATACAAAGTCTTTGCGCCTTTCCTACTGGTTTGATCAGATACAATTACCGATTCTCACCTTTCCGATGTGCTCCACCAATGGCGCCACGCCGCCAACTTTTGGGGCAACTTAATTCGCAATTAGCACAGCCCTGCAAACATTTCATAATCATCAATTACCACCTAAAATCGAGGCGAAGGGAAATGTAACGTCCACCACTGGTGATATTTCAAATGGACGAAGCTTAAGTTCGATTCAGGGGGAAACTGAGAGAGAAGGGTAGGTTGCCCCAAAAGACAGCCGTCTCCCGAATTCCACTGAGGAAGAACTGCCCACTGCATGCAGTGCAGAAACGTGCATGACTCCGTGGACGCTTGGTCAGCAAATTGACGCCTTGGTTCAAGAAGCAAGTGATGGAGAAACTTGACTAAGAGCGTCCTCTGCCCTAGGCTCCACAAAACATGCAATTCCCGTCGCGGCATAGTCTTCTCATAAGCCTGTTGCAAGTTCAACTGGCTCATGAAGACCATGCCGCTACCATAAAAACCTGTATTATATACTGCATAACTCTGCCTAGCGACGGGGCGGTGTCACTTGTGAAATGGGCCCAACCCGGCCAGGATTTTCTACCAATAGTTGGTGCCCTATCCTCAACTGGTCACTATGGTCGAAAACGCAGCATAAGGTGGTCCATACCACGCTTGACACAGTACCGTCGCTTTGTTTCGTTACGCCTTCCACGTCGATTTGCCCGAAAAAGGAGACTCCGCTAATGTATTTATTTGCACTTTACTCCTCCGGTTTTCTTCAGAGTTCAGATGCGGGTGGCTTGGACCCAGTGCACAACATCGTGGAAAAAGCCCATCCTGCAGTCGTATGCTCGCTGTGGAGGATGGTCGAGAGGGTTAGCGGATAATGAAGAACAGGTTAACGGTATAATGAAGTTGTGACCCTTTCTGAACCATTGCATCACAATGGCTGAGAGAAATTACTTTTTCGACCAGCTGATAGTGGAAGTCAAAAGCATGGCGTCCACATAAAAAACATCAATCGATGATGAACAACAATTCGCTCATTCAGTCCGACGGGAGGATGCGTCCTGGAGGCAACTAAGACTCCCAGATGATTTTCTTTAGTGACAGATGGAATAAAAAGTGTGAGTAGCTCAGGATTTCGCACATAGAAGCCCATCTGAAATATCTCCGAAATTAGCGGTTCTCGTGTAGGAGTGTGACTTTTTTCGAAAAGAGAACTTTATAGTTACGAAAGATCCTTCGAACGATTGCGTACTAGGGAGGTTAGGGCGCTTCAAAGTGTAAAACTCGCATTTCTTTCAACCGGTCAAACGATTTCTTTTGAATTGAAATAAGACTTACTAGAGATATTTCTGAAACCGGAGGAGCTCCAGAATTAGTTTGATGCAATTGCAAAATGAAATACTCAGTACAATACCCACCCTAATTCTCTAAAAAAAACGAAAAAAAACCCATCTAGGGCTCCTTTTCCGCTTTTTTCAACCCGTAACTGCCAGATTTGCTGTTATTAGAGACTTACTAGAAAACGCTAAACATCGTGCATTGAGCTCGTCAAACCTCTATACGATGATTTCGAAAAGTCTATTAATTCTACGAAAAATCTATTTTTTTCTTCGTTCTAAACAGGAGTGATCTGTGGGGCGGGGGGGGGACTCGCTAGGCGCGTATTGGAGACAGAGAATGATTGAAAAAAAGCTAGTTTCGGATAGAAAAACTGATATTGTTGTGTCTCTGTGTGCACTAGAAAATTCTATCATCTTTCAAAATTCTAAACGAACAAAGCATTCGCGCAAAATTGACAATTCCATCAAGAATTCTTCACTTCTTAGGAAATCGCTACAAAAAATGAGAACATTTGTGTGACACAGCCATCGTTTTCAATCATTCCTGACATACAAAAGTAATACATTGAACCGTTAAATGAATCTCATTCCAACGATTCCCTCTACTTATAAGTACATATAGCGAGACTCTCTCGCTAACGAGTCCCCCCCCCCAGATAACCTCGTCATCCGGGCAGTTGATTAGGGCGGTCTCAACGGGCCGCCAGCCG